TAAAACATCACATTTGAGACATGACGAATTAAGAAAATGTTTTGCCCTGTAACCCCAATATGTAAAATAAATGACGTATTTATCATGACTCATGTAAATATAAAGATTAAAGAAAAGATAAAAATTTTGCTACTGATATTTTACAACTTAATATAAAAAAGCGAAGTTATTCTGTTTTTGTACAAGTTTGAATTTGTTATTTTAATATTCAATTAATATTATAAATGAAGACTAGTGTTAATTCAAATGTTCCTTTAATATCAAATAGTTTTGTAACATGTTATTCTGATTATTTTGTTATACATTTATATTATTTTCCATATGGTAATAAAAAAGTAAAATATAGTAATATTCGTTCATGTGAATTTCATTCAACAGATGATCTTGATATGTTTTCATATAAATTATGGGGAATGTCATTTTCACCTGTTTGGTGGCATTGTGATATGAAACGTTTAATGAGAAAAAATTACATATTATTAGATGCAAATCAATGGCCTCATATTGGTCTAACAATGAATGATGATGATCTAATTAATGTTTATAATTTAATCAAACAAAAAATTTCTTTTAATCAATCAAATATTTATAATGAAAAGTTAATTTATGATTCATCAAATATCATCTCTGAAAAAGAAATTCAATATGAAAAATCTTTTCAAAATATTAAAAAAGATTAAATAAATTTTTAAAGACAATTCTAAACGAATGGAAAATATAGTTTTATACAAATGATTTTTTTCTTTTTCTTTCATAAAATTTTCCGAGTTAATATTTTATTTATATGTTTCAAATAATTGTTCACAGAACTATAAATCAATCATTATATCAAATGAAATGATTATAATCGATAAAGATTTATTTATATCTTATTTATTTTAAACAAACTTTCAAATAAATATCTTGAAAAAAGTTCATTTAAAAATTCCATGAATAAATAAATTGAATTCTCTTATAATAAATTTAGTAGGAAGTGAGATTGAAATCTTATCAGCAAGTTAATAATCATATTTACAAAAAAATAAATATTTGTTATATGAATTTTTTATTTGTCTCTTTTGCATTATAATTAGAGTTATAAAATGGCAAAGCATTTGCCTGTCTGTATAAAAAGTCTAGAAGATGGAATTATCATTTGCATGCCACTTTTTTTTCATTCTTTCCCGTGAACTAGTTGATTTTCAAGAGAAAAACAATGTATGCCACAACCAATAATCATATGTAATTATTCTTTCTATAGTATAGTTCTCACTAGTAGTTTATTGTTAACAATGAAATATTGCGTGGGTGTCCTTTGAAATCTACAAGAGAAAATAAGGCAACCTCGATTTTAATTAAGTTTTTACTGTATTTCAATATAGTCTATGCTTTATGCACAATTATTCATATATGTATACAAAATTTCAAACCAATTTTTTCTTATTAATGAAATATGTTGTAAATAGATGTTTAATTAAGCCATATGAAAGAAACGATTAATTGTTTACGATCATTTACGAATAAATTCGACCATTTACATAGTTCAACATTATATAATCGTTTATATTCATATTTACATATCAAGGAGTACACTGTTTTACAGTGATAAAATAGCGCATTTATATTGTGGATCATGATAATGCTGATCAATATAAAGTGTATTGAAAAATAATTCTATGCGAAGAAATACGAAACGTATATACTAGTAAACTATTATTGCAAACTTTCTATTCTTTGTCGTGATCATAAGCGAAATATTATTTTAGAAAAAAAACATAAGAAAATATTACATTTTTCATACTGTGAAAATCACTTAATTGTTTAATAAAATCTATTTTATGTTTTCAGATATATTTTTAAATAATCGATAGTATTATCACTGAACAATGTCAATTCAAGTTGACCAACAAGCACCTGACTTTACTTTATACAATACAGAAAAACAAGAAGTTTCTCT